CCCAAAATAAAAAAAAAAAAAAGGCAAAGAACCTTCCCTGTCCCAGCCCTTCCCTGCCTTGGGATGCTGTTGGGATTCCTGAGGGATTTTGCCCTGCATAAAAGAGACACAAAAATGCATTTTGCCACTGAACAAAGCTGAGATGGCAGCTGAGCATTTTAATTAAAAAGAAAAAAGCTGATAAAATTTTATTGTTACTGAGGGTCTTCTCTAAAAAGCATTAGTGTATCACTGTAGAATTATTTATCGTTGTAATCGTAATGAGGAAAAGCCTTTTCCGTTCTCATCAATCTGGCGATGTCCTTTCTGGTCGTCTCTTCTGCCGTTCTGTAGATTTGAATGTTTGACCTCCTCTGTAATGGTGGATAAGATATGCAATAATGAAGATAGCCTAGTTTCATGAAGGTCATTTTAATCATATAAATGGATCAGATAATGACAGCCTGCACCAAGGGTAAAAGCACACTTTTTGATCCACCTGTGTGGAAATAGTGAGGGGGATTAACCTTCTTTCTCCTTTGCCTTTCATAGGAGGGAAATTCTGTGTGCTGTTAAGCACTAAGGGTGCACAACAGCTGATGTTTTCAGAGCTATTGTTTTAACTGCATCCCTCTGACCAGTTGTTTGTTCTAAATGAGCGAGTTCTTGGGGACCAGATGGAAAGAAACTTGGCATTTTCCGAAGGCATGAACTACTTTTTTGATTCTTTATACTTCGGCATGTCTTTTCTTGGCACTTTTACGTAGTCTTTTTTAGACCAAGCTATTAATTAGCAACAGCACACCTTTGATATAGAGATATTGATTGGGACATCCTGGGCAGATTGGATGGCTTTCTTCCATGTTTGAAAGCATATACTAGTTGTTTTTATGAAGAATATGCACACAGGTTTTGAGTAGGTGTGAAAGGATTCGTGAGAGCGTGAGGAGGAGTCACTGCAGCTGAATCAAGTAATATTAGTCGAGCTGCAGTTCAGGCTTCTTGAGCAAATGTCCAGAATATGTGGATGCCAGGGAGAGATATTTTTGCTTCTGATTAAGTAGTGTTTGCCGCTACAAAGCACCCAAGGAATACGTACTAGTCTGCCTTATTTGAGTTTGAAAATGAGAGGTAGTGGTCAGTTCTCTATGATAAACAATTCCTTAGAGGACATTAGGAAGGGGGATGGAATCACCGAGAAGGCCAGAGACACCTACAGGAGTCATGCTCTGGCAGCTTAACAGTGAAATTATTGCTACAATAGAAACTTATTATTTTTCCTGCTATGTTGTCTTTTATTCTTCCTGTTCATAAAAATTAAATTGCAAAATTTACCTAATGCCCAACTGTCATCTCATCAAAAGTATTATAGAGTGTTTCCAGGTATCCAGCTTGTAACATTGCTGCAACAGTTCCTTGTCTTTCCTTGTCTTTTATCATAAAAAACTGCTGCACAAAGGGAAGATACAAATCTTTGACTTTTCTTTTTCTGTGCCCAGATAACCTTCTGCTTTGCTTCCTCCTACATCTGCATTATCCTATTTGAAGGGTGGTGTAGGTGCAGATAGCTTGAAAGGAGAAAAAAAAAACAACAAACCCCAAGCCCAGCAACCTTGGTCTAAACACTTGGTTCTGTGTGTTTAGCTGTAAGACCACAGGAATGTCTTACTGGGTAGGAGATCATACTTAGGGAGAGCATTATCCTTCTGCTACACGTGGCCCATTTCCTTTCCATTTTCCCCAGTATCTGCAACCGTCAGATTAGGCACCTTCAAGTGTTCTTTTAAAAATTGATCACACATAATTGTCTATATAGTAACAACACACGTAATAATCATGTTCAATGAAATGAAGTGTGGCATCCAGATGTGGGAGTCCCTCTAGACACAGTTCCTGGAATCACTTGGAATTCAGTGGGAGTTTATACGGGGAGCAGCAGTTCATTTGCACACTGTTGTTTGAAACATGGGGGCATAATTTTGCTACTTTTTGGATTAACCCACCTGCTGTGTAAATGCTTGAAAGCATTTGAAAAGAAAACAATTTGAATAAAATCATGGTTTTTTAACACTTTTTTAAAAACTCAAATATGTCTGGTTGGAAAAACTTACCTGCTCTTGAGCATGCTCATGTATTGAAATTTTTGTATGTAGTGTTATTTGGGTAACCCTACCAAAAGAAGCCAATGCCCATTGTTACGTACAAAACAGAGGTTTGTAAGCGAACAAAAGTATTAAAACCTCCTTTTTTTTTCTTTTTTTTCCTACCAATCAAGTATTAAATTGGCTGATCAAGACATAGACTTAGATAACATGGAATAGTTTTCATCTGCAGTGCTTAATTTTCAAATTTATTAGCTCAAGCTGTTAATGAGTTACTTCTAAATAGCAATCTCATTTGTAGATGACCTTATTCATTTGGAAAAAGAGTTTGGAAAGCTGAAACTTTCTACTCATGTATTTATGAATTGGTTAAGCTACATTTTCTGAGAACATAGTCATATTCTGTTGGTGTCACAGTTTTGTTTTGAAAGCGTTACAGTGGGCATCAAGATAGCAATGACAAGCCAAATGAGCTCGTTTTGGCTGACCCCTGTTTTGTCAGGCCAGGATTAAAAAATGGGAACTTAGAAGGTCGGCAACTTTGAGTTACTTAACCATATTGAACACAGAGCTGCTGTACAGAGAGGGGTGTATTGTCAGCTGAGCAAAGTTAGCACACCTGACTCTTTCTCTTGGCTGAGCCCTCAGAGCTCAAATAGACCTGTGGAAAAGTTTTGTTTTGTTTTTAATAAGTATTTGCTGCCCGCCCCCCCCCTTCCCTGCTTTCAGATGGTGTTATAAAAACACGTAGGTCCAGATGAACTCCGCTGTCTTCCTACCTGGGAATTGGCTCTGTGGAACTATAGTAACTGATGCAATATATTTTGATGTGGGCAATAATTTTGCTGGCCATCCAGAGACACTGTTTTGTGATATGTGCTCTGCGATAAAATGGGCTCACTCGCTGGTGTAAATCTAGCATAACTTTCTTGGACTCATTTAAGAGAGTTTTACTTGTCTGATACCAAAGAACTTAAGCTTTCTGGCCACAATCTAGCTGCCTTGTATGACGGGATTTACAGTCGTGGTACAGTGTGACTTTGGCACATGGGTGAGGAACTGCACAGGTTATGAGTTCCTTTTGTTAAGGAGATATTGTCTGTAACTGCAATATATGATTCCCTGTCCTTTTAATCCAATAATGACTCTTTCATTGTTCACATTGCTGTAGAAATACATATTTTTTTTCTCTTGCTCTGTGGTAAGATTGGCTAGCAATGGGCTTTATTTGAAAGGGTATTGAACTTCCTTTTTATTAATGTGAACTGCATGATCCTTTAAGGAGAATAACAGAATATTCATTTTGCTTTGGTCTCATTCCAGAGGATTCCCCTACTACACATGTTCTATCCTAGCTGAAATAGACACCACCTTCTTTGCCCATCTTCCCCTTTAGTAAGACGCAGATACAGTGATGTTGCTAATTAGGCAGCGTGCATACTGTGGATTGTGTAAAGTCCCTGGATATTTTTCCTACCCCTTCCTTCAATTCTATCTCACTATGGAGTATGCTACTCTTACTTGTTAGTCCACACCAGAACATGGATCAGAGTGGGAGCATCCCCTTGTGTAGAGCTTCCCTTGAAAAAGTGTGCAACATCTTATTCTGTGTTATGTAAGCAATCCATTGAAAACTGGTCAAAATAAATGCTGTTCTTGGACTAGTTGAATAAAAAGATTGATTTGCTTGTGTTGAAAAAACATGGAGAAATAATCTGCATATCTGACATTAGTTTTATGAGCGTAATAAGCTGAACTGTAGCAGTGCCTCTTGTTGTCCCTATCCTATCTATTTTAATATGTTCAATGTGTCTTGCTTTTTGTTTCTTGGATTTCCCTTTCACCATTTTGGGCAGTGGGCCCAGACCTGATGTGCAACAAGTTCTGCTGTCCTCATTCTGCATTTCTCTGATATAGCTGTGTCAAAAAAAGCACTCTAACACAGTACTGAAATGAGCATGGATGCTTTTAATTTAGCACACACCATTTTTCAATTTCACTTACCGTTTGACATGAGTGAGGTGTTCCAGTCTTGTAATCTGAACAATTAATGTTTTAAGTTAATTGCCTGTCGACTGTGATGGGTGAGCAGCAAAACTGGACAAACATGGGTAGCACTAATGCTGTTTTCCCAGGAGCATTGTTTGGAAGGGCAACTGGGGTTTTACCTTTTGGAGAAGAAAGGGCTCCTCTTTGCCTTTTGACTTGTAATTCAGGGGGTGAAGTAAGCACCTTATAGGCAGGCTGCTTTGCCAAAGAACCATAGAGCAAGCAGCCAGGTTGGTGAGTGGTTGTCTTTCCGTGGTTTAAAATTCTTTTAAAGAATCGTTATTACTTTTTTGGGGGTAGGGTTTGAGGTTTTGTGGGTTTTTTTTGTTTTGGTTGGGTGGGGTTTGTTGTTTGAGCTTTTTGGTGTTGGGGTTTTTTTTGAGACTGAAAGACTGAAAACAGCCTGGTGTTTGATACTGAAGTGTTGAGAGACCCATGTGATTAACTTTGAAAAGAATCCCAGCTTCCCATCTTGATCCAGATTGTTATGAGAGCAAAATTCTGCTGTAATGGCTCTGCTCTAGAGATGTTTCTGTTGCTGGCCTGTTCTTCTAGTACTGCAGCGCCTTGTACAATGTGATGTTTGGAAAGGAGTATCATAACATGAGAGAGGTTTCTACCCCTGTTTAAAATGCATGTGACCCCTGGGCTCTGCAGAGGAAGGCACTTCATGGACTAGAAGGGTTTGTGACCCTGACTTCCTCTGAGCTGAGAAGGTGTAGGTGTGAGGGTTGATTACAGTTTGTAATACACCTACACAGTCTACTAGTCTGTATCACACCAGGTTGATTTTGGTGACTTTTGCCGTTGAGCGAATACTAAACTAATTGGGTGTCTGACTTTAACTGTCATACCTATCACCATCCCCAGGCAAGGGACCTGAAACTCTTTATGCTGGGCAGAAACTCAACGACAATGAGTGGCACACTGTCCGGGTAGTTCGGCGAGGAAAGAGCCTCAAGTTGATGGTGGATGATGATGTTGCTGAGGGTGAGTGTAATACATGAGTATTTTCTGTCGTTATCTTTGTACCTCTGTTCACAATGTCTGCCCTTACACCCATTCTCCCTCTTCTTCTGTGTATCTTTTTTTTCCCGTTCCTGTTACTTCTTGTATATTTAGTGTTACTATGTTGAAAACTAATGTTCAGTTCTGAGAGACTAACTCTTCTTAGCCAGCACCAGAAACTTCTGCGACAACTGTGACGATACGAAATGTGGGATTAGGGGACAAATAAGTTTGCACATAGCCAAGCAGGCAGAGGTGCTAAGCAGCAATCTCTCTTGTGCCAGGCTGTTTGGGGTACACTGTGAGTATATCTCATTTCTGAGCTGCAATTGTGGTGGTTTCTAATACTGTGGATCAAAATCCATGCTCCCTAAACTTGTTCTCTGCACAAACTTTTCCTTGGTGGTAAACCCGCATTTGATAGATGTGTTAGAGAATATGGATTTCTGTCTCTGCTGTTTTTTTGGTTTCTTTTTTCAAGTTCCTGTGCTCATGGCTCAGAGCTCTCCAGAAGAAAAAGCAAATAGAACAGTTCGTTCCTAACTTTGTTTTAGAGGTTAGATAGGACCCTGACTCACCAGAGTATGTCATGTCATAACATTCATAACATATAGAGTGTGTCAGTCTTTTTTTTTTTTTTCCCTTTTTTTCCCATTCCTGCATTTCCTGACAGCTTTTTGAGCTCCTGTTTCTTTCTGTAGAGAAATGTAGTTGAAGGAGGGAAGAAAAGATCAATCACTTAAGAAAGCTGGTGTCTCCCAAGTTAGACATTTGCATTGAAATTATCAAAGTACTTTAGATTGATCTTTTTTTCATTACAAAATTTTAGGTGATACTTTTCTAGTCCATTTCCCCACAGCTGCAAGAGCCAGAAAACTATTTTTCTTTTTTTGACAGTCTAAAGTTCTCATAGCTGTATATAACTGTAGGAACTGGTTTTTGAGGAAAACACCAACAGTCTGAAGGCTGATAATAGAATTACAAAGAACGGTAACCCTGTATGCAACACTGATACGAGTATGGTCATTTACTTGTGACCCATTCTGTTTTGCCAAATGCTGATGTCCACTTTTCTAAGTAGCTTCTGCTTGGAAGGCAAATAGAAGGAATGGCTGCCATCGGCAGTGCCAGAATATATATCCTATCTCTGCAAAAAGTGTGAATGCAATTAATTTTAAGTAATGTGGTACTTAGATTATTTGGAAAGCCATGAGTCAGGATTTTGAAATAAGCCTAAAGAAATGAGTTTTCAGGAAAATTATTTGATATGTTATTTTCTCTCTGAAGTAAATCTATGTTGTGTTGTATGGGCTGAGAATTTGCAAGACAGAATCAGAAGAATATGAAAGAAGAATGTTTCCTTCTCCTTGTTGGAATTGGCAGAGGCTTGGTCAACACTAGCTTGTAGGAAAATTAAATTTTATTTAAGAGGGAACTTTCTGAATTAGTGAAACATGCTGGTTAACACTTAGTCCTGTTTACTTCTCCATTTAAGGAGAATAATTGTTCTGGATATGCTTTTTTAGCAAGCACCATGAGGTGGCACTCTCGGCATTACCAGCTCAATCCCCAGAAAGCCATCTGTTTTTTGAAGTCTTTTTCGTTAAACTGAGTTTATAAATAATGATGATACAATCCTATACTAAAATAGGATGTGCATATGTACATGTATATGAATTACATAATTAAAGATGCATTACAGCTAAAAATATCTGTTAAAAGAACGCCATCATGCCAAAGTCAAAAGTCGGAAAAGCCAGAGTTAAGATTTTCTGTGCAATCTGTATCCCACTTCCTTGGGAAGATGATACAATCTTCAATGGTGTGGTCACATAGATTTTTCCACAGGATTCTTACTGTCTTTAGGCATAGATCAGAAGTCTAAATAGGGTCCCCAGTAAAAATAAACAGCCTATTTGATTGCCGCCTTCTTTCTTATTGCTTGTTTGGAAAAACGCATGCCAACTAAATTTTGCTCTGACTATAGACCCACTGGTTTGTGTGTGTTGTGTACTCATCAATTTGTTTATACAGAACTAAGAAGCTGTAATTGAATTTATTCCCATGTCTATGTTATATGAAGTGAGTAGGCATCTTTTTCCCATTTTACAGATTTGGAAACAAGGCACCATATTAAAGTTGGATGTGTTTTGGTACCAATTTGGCATGATTTTTCAGTCATTTGCATGCACAAATATTCAGTATGTCTGTAAATTGGATCCTGTTAGCTCAGCCCTGCTACTTGGAGAATCAGGTCTAGACAATTAATGACCACCTGTGAAAAATTTGTAATGAAGTGACTGACGTGGCTTCCTGCAGGACAACTGAGGGAGAGACAGAATCCAATTCCTCTGGACAGCATTTTGCCGCTTAATCAAAAAACCCTCCTCCTACATTCCCACCTGCCTCAGAATAGACCTCAGAACATCAGTGGTAAATGAGATACAAATATAGCAGTCATATTCCTCCCTACAACATCTTGCTAGCACCCAAATATCGCAGTGGAGGCTGGATTTTTTTGTCTGCTATCACTTGAACGAAAGAGCTCCTGATTGCTGTAGTAGTTACAATACTTTCTACAGAGCACAGCGGAAGAATTAGAGGTGAACTCTGCAGGTGGGGCTGACAGCTAATGAGACCAGAAAATACTGGATTTCACTCCTATGATTTCTTAAGAAAATCCATCTCTGTCCTGATTCTGGCCTTGTTTTGTTATGTCCTTTTCAGCTTTTCACTGAACTACTCCTAACTTTCTGTACTACCACTGCTGCCCTTAAACCAGTCCCCGTTTTCTCATTTTTCATCTTTTCTGAAATTCTGAGTTCACCTCTTCCAACTTCCCTCACTCTATTTCTACCCCCCCCCCCCATTTGGGTTCCCTGCCCCAGTGTACTCCGGATTTCACAGACCTGGCTTTTTTTCCTACTCTGGCAACAACTACTTCTTTGCATTTATCTAAGAGTAGAGGAGCTAAGGAGAGTTTTCTTGCTCTTGGTCTTTGACATCTCCACATTTTATTTTTCTAATAGTTTGAAATAAAGATGCAGGGTTTCTTTTTAAAGTATTTTTTTTTTATTTTTAAGAAAATGTGATTCTTTTTGTTTGGAAAAATCAGAAATTTTCATTTGATAATATTAAAACTGAAACAGCCCCTAACAATCAGAGTAGTGAAAGTGAGATGGTTTGCCTAAACAAATTTTACCAGTTTTTTCAGTTCCTGTGAACTGTCATGTTTCAAACTAAAATAATATTTCTGGTAAAGAACTGTTTCAGGATTTAAAAACGTTTGCATTGGTATTGACACTTGAATTTCTGAATAGTCAGAAATATGTGACTCTTTTCAGCTGCTTTTAAGTTTGTCCAGCTGTATCTGCTTGGGTTGAAGCTTTCCATGTCAATGGTCTTTGTGTAATTGTCTTTAAATTTAGATACTGCTAAAATTGGGACTAAGTGAAAAAATAAATTGCTTTGTAGAATATTTTCTCTTTGTGTTTGGAATAGATACTTGAAAACATTATTTTTTTTTTCTAATAACAACTGTGCTTGTTTGCTATCTTTGCAAAAACTTGATCACATTTGGACAAAGTATAAACTGAGAAATTGCACTTTGTGCATGATCATGAGAAGAGAGTCAGAAATATTTCAGTGTTTCAAGAAAACCTAAGAATGAGATTATCAGTTCATTTAATCTGACTCTTTATACACCACAAGCCAGGATGTATAATCCAAGTTTCTTATAAGTATTCTCAGCTTTCATTCTGTCCCCAATAGAAAAAAACCCAAAGAATATGTTGCGAATAGTAGGAAAAGTCATGAAAGGCCTATAATTTTTTTTTTTGTTGTTGTTTAACACCTGGGAACTGTTAGGTGAGAAATGAGGCGATTTCAGGAGATAGCACAGAATATGAGAAAGCTTATAAATCCCAGTTTATATGACCTGGGGGAATTAAAAGATAAGTTTGTCCTGGACTCAGCTATGGTGATCGGTGTGACTCCCAGGTATAATCCCAATGACTCAGAAATACCTTTTGCAGTCACTAGTTGAGAGACTTGTATATATGCTAACTGCCCAGCAGATGCAATCAAGCAGAATATTACTGCTAAATTTTGTCTGTCTATATAGCACACTGGAAACATTTATTCAGGTCTTTATCCAGGTGCCAGTTTTACACAAAACGAGTATGAATTTAAATATTTCACCCTTCTGTTCTTTTTAAACCTGATTGAATTTGACCACATGTTAAAATGTTGTTGGAGGCAGAGGGGCCAACAGGTAGAGTGGCTCTTTCCTTTGAAAAACCTTGTAAAACAAAAGACTTTCCCTGTACAGTAACTATATTAGCAACACACTAGAAGGTTAAGTAGAGAAACATGCAAAAGTAGGGAAAAGTTGAAAGTAGATCGGTCTGTATTTTGATGCATCTTTTTGCCTAATTTCCTATTTGCTGCTGTCCTTTTTTCACAGGAGCTTTGCTTCTCTGCTTACATTAAGAAAGGACGATACAGCAAACAGGTTGACGTAGGTCTCTGTATTAAAGGACATGCTTGTTTTTAAGATCCCCTTTGTGAAACGTCTGTAGTGAATGAGACATAGAATGGTAAAAAGAGGAAAGGGACCTCTATGTAAGGCATGTGAATACAGCCCAGAGGAATTTACTTCTGTACCTTAGCGTTCCTATGGGAAGCTGGTTAAGTCACTTGAAGTCAGGTCTTTCACAGTTGATCACTAATTGTACCTGTTCTTTTAGGAGGTACTCATTTGGGATTGTGGATCTTATTTCTAGGAGTGCTGGGCCTCAAAACCAGTGAGTGCTCTGAAGTTCTTACGTATTCTACTAAATTGGATGCCAAATATTTCTTTTTCGAGATCCAAAACTACTTATATGTTGATCTCTCTGTTCCTCAGCTTTGTGTATATAAAATTGAAAGTAATATTCCTTAATATTGTAGGAGCGATAGAAGATGAAGTGAACATTTGAGGATAATTTGCACAGTGTGCTGCTGAACTGGTGGGCTGTCCATGGCTGGCTGCCAGACACCCACCCAGCTGCTCTCTCACTCCCTCTCCTCAACAGGACAGGGGAAAAAATGGAATGAGAAAATAGGATGAGAAGGCTTATGGTTCAAGATGAAGGGAAATCGCTTACCAATTACTTTCACGGACAAAACAGACTTGACTTGGGGAAAATTAATTTATTACCTATTAAAAATAGTTGGATGGTGAGAAACAAAGACAAAAAGTTAAGACACCCTCCCCCACCTCTCCTTTTCTCAGGTTTGCTCCTTCATTCCTGACTCTTCAACCCTCCCCAACCCAGTGGTGCAGGGGGGTGGGGAATGGTGGCTGTAGTCACCCTGTAACAGCTCCTCTCTGCCGCCCCTTCCTCCTTACACCTTACCCCTGCGCCATGTGGGTCACTCCTGTGGGTGGCAGTCCTTCATGAAGTGCTCCAGCATGCATCCTCTCTGCAGGCTGTCAGGAAAACCTGCTCCAGTGTGGGCTTTCACTGGGCCACCAGTTCCTTCAGGAAATATCAACGTGCTCTGGCATGGGGGTCCTCCATGGGCTGCAGTGTGGGTGTCTGTTCCATTGTGATCTTTTCCATGGGCTGTCAGAGAATTTTCACTTTGGTGCCTGGAGTGCCTCCTCCCCTTCCTTCTTTTCTGACCTTGGTGTCCGCAGGGTTTTGGAGGTGTTTGGGCTTGGTTTGTTTTTTTTTTTCCTTTGTTCCTCACTCATGGGCAGCATTTTGCTCTTTCTTAAAAATGTTTTCACAGAGGCCTCATTATTTTGGCTGAGGGGCTCAGCTGTGCCCTGTGATGGGTCTGTTGCAGAGCCAGCCATGTCCAGCACGGGGCAGCCCCGGCCTCTCCTCACAGAGGCCGCCCTGCAGCCAGCACCTCGCCATGTAAACTCAATACAGCGCTGCAGAAAATTTCATGAGAGAAAAAATAACAGCATATTTGTAGCAGAGTTTGAATAATGGTTGTACATTGAATGATGAGAGAACAATTATATTTTGGGTAATTGTTCATGAATTTAATACTATTCCTGTTGTATATTAAATGGCACAAGGCCTGTGTACAAAGGATACTTGCTTGTGTGACCAATAGTTAAAACTATCTAAATGCAGAACTACAGAGGACTAAAATAAGGTTGGTTGTAATGGTTTTAATTCTGATGTTGCCCGACTTGTCTTTGTACAGAAACTAGTCTTTTAACATGCAGTTGCAGTTCATCTGCCTGTGTGGGTTCTGTGTCCGTACTGATGCCTAGCACACTTACTGAAACATTTAAATGTGCTTCAAGAGTAGTCTGACATATTTGGTATACTAAATAGCTTGAATATTTTAATTGAGAGGTTAAAATCCCTCACAATGTGGCAAATAGCCCAAGTGTTGATGATTTAAATATATGGAGGGCTCTGCTTGTCGCATTCTTGTGCATTTGCTTTCTGCTGTGCTCTTAAAACAAGAGAAATAACATCAGCCACCAGGAGAGAACAACAGAATACATATTAGCAGGTTTATGACTGTTCTCACTTCTCATTCTGCTCTTTTTATATTAATCTATGTTTATTGAGTGTTTTCAGGAAGCGCACTTGTAAGAGTTGTTTCAGAAGTGTCTGAGTTGTTTGGCAGATGGACCATTGGAACAAACAGATCACTGTAGGCTTAAAGGGAGAGACCTAGTCTTCTTCACAGACAAGAAAGTCTGTGAAGCACAGGGAAAAATACAGAGCTTGCTGCCCATGGGCCTTTAGTCCCGTCTTCTTTCTTCTGCCAGTTTTTGACAACTGCTAGACTCAAGCCTCTCCACCCAATCTATACATTCTTTCTTATGCAAGCTGCTTAACAGTGATCAGATAGGACTAAGTTAGTACTGCTATTAGCCTGGAAACTGGAGGGTGAATGGCTCCTTATAACCTGTTACTCATCCCTGGGCTTTCTGTATGTTCCTCCTTGTTCTGTCCTTCAGGCACAATGGTTGGTGATCACACCCGCTTGGAGTTCCACAACATTGAGACAGGGATCATGACGGAGAAACGGTACATCTCTGTCATCCCTTCCAGCTTCATTGGCCACCTCCAGAGCCTCATGTTCAATGGGATGCTCTACATTGACCTGTGCAAGAATGGTGACATTGACTACTGCGAGCTGAAGGCACGCTTTGGTCTCCGCAACATTATAGCTGACCCCGTGACATTCAAGACCAAGAGCAGCTACCTGAGCTTGGCCACCTTGCAGGCTTATACATCCATGCACCTCTTCTTTCAGTTCAAGACCACCTCAGCTGATGGTTTCATTCTCTTTAACAGTGGTGACGGCAATGACTTTATTGCAGTTGAACTTGTCAAGGGGTAAGTGACTTTCTGCTATATTTTACCAGTTTATTTATAGATAAACTTACTTATAGGTAAGCTTAAAATGCTTGCACAAAGAGAAATTCACCTTACATTCATGCTTTCTCTGTTTGCTGAGGTATATGACAAAGCTAGATGTAATTTAGACATAAACACTGAAACTTAAGACTCCTGATTTTATCACTGACTTCTCTTGTGTCTGAGGGAAAGACAGTTTTACATCATGAAACCATAATGTTTTGAGTTCTTTGATCTAGTTAGGCTAAGGTTTTGTCCTGTTAGCCTTGCACAGAGGAGGAAATGTGCTGGGGGCTCTGAGTCTCTCTTCCCTTTTTGTGTTTTTTTTTTGTTTTTGTTTTTGGTTTTTTTTCCTGTAACAGACCCATTGTGTTTCTGCCGCCTTCACTGAATGGAAAAAAGAGCATATGGGTTGCTGAAGTTGTGTTTCTGTTGGTGATGTTTGAGGAAAAGTGAGCTCATCTTGCTTTTGAGCCACTATATTCTTTATACAAAACCAATAGCTTTTTAAAAAAAAATACTTTGTTAGCTGAACAGATTTTGATCTCTTGTCACAGTAGACATGTTTTCCACAAATGCAGTTTACTAATCCTGTTTATTTCAGTATAACTATAGTTCAATCTGTTTTATTTTTAACTTTGTACATATTTCTGTAAGTGGGACATTGAATAATAGAAAAAGCAAGAGTCATGGACTCCTGTTGCTCTGTTAAGAGTTGAATTTTGTTGTCTTTTTTTCCTTTCTAAGTAGAATATTTATATTCCCAGGTGGATTTCTGTGTTTGAACTATATAAATAATTCAGGGTAACACTCCCATGACTTCAGTCTTCGTTAAGGTCTTTATTTTTTCCAAAACCTTTGCTAATTGTTTTTCAGCTGTTTGAATAAGCCTAGAGTCTCATGTGAATTTTACTGCAATATTTTGAGTGAGTTTCCCAATTAATTTTTTCAGGGAGTTATTCAAAATTCAGAATGAATCTGGGGATTATATGCCCCAAATAAGCATATCTAGTGTTGCTCTCCAGTACATTTATCGATATTGCCAATTTTTAAAAATAACTATATGCACAGACAGGGGGGTTGTGGATCTATGACAACTTTGTGAAAAAGAGCAATGCTTTATGGTTAGAATCTGATTATTCTAAATGTTGTCATCTCAAAATACTAATCTTTACACTTTCTTGGTGGAAAGGAAACAACTATGTATTTTCAAATCAGTGGCTAATATTTTGGCTTACTAGAACTTTCTAGCCCAGAGATACTTCACTTCATGACTTTTGTAAGTTAATTTATCAAATCTGGCTAGAAAAAGGGTCTGGAGTTCTTACACAATTCTAACTAGTTCTTGCTATGTTTACAGGTATATACACTATGTTTTTGACCTTGGAAACGGACCTAATGTTATCAAAGGCAACAGTGATCGTCCTCTTAATGACAACCAATGGCACAATGTTGTCATCACCAGAGATAACAGTAACACACACAGCCTAAAGGTGGACACGAAGATGGTCACTCAGGTTATCAATGGTGCCAAAAATCTGGATCTTAAAGGTAAATTCTACAAGACTGACAGTTTCCCCCTTTATTCTTGCAGGGCTCAACACAAGAAAGCTTGCAGAAACTATGCATTACAGAACAGTAAATCTGGAATTTGGTGATTTTTGGCTTTCAGTGTTGTTTTTCTCTGTTTGGCAACTTCCTGTAGCAGAATACTTTGTCATATTTTGCTTTTTCAGAAATTTATTGTCATAATGCAGTTTTTCCTAGTTAAGATGCAATTACAGCTGGGGGTTTTTGTTCTTTTTTTGGGAGGGAGGTATTGTTTTGTGGTTTGGGTTTTTTGGGTGTGTTGAGGTTTTTTTTCTGGTAAAGGAGGCAGAAATGACTTCTTGCACAATATCTTGCTCTGCTTTTCACTTTTTCTGAGCAATTGTGCAGCTTGCTATATTCATGTTGGGTTGGGGGGGGAAGCCACTCTGGAAGGTATGTAACTTCCTCCTTGTATGTTTACCCCTTTCTCCTCTAGGTGATCTCTACATTGCTGGCCTAGCTCAAGGCATGTATAGCAACCTCCCAAAGCTAGTGGCCTCACGTGATGGATTTCAGGGATGTCTAGCATCTGTGGACTTGAATGGGCGTCTGCCTGATCTAATCAATGACGCTCTGCACCGCAGTGGGCAGATTGAGCGTGGATGTGAAGGTATAATTGATTTCAGAGAAGTTCCCCTCTCAAGCACTCCCCTCTTACTCCATTGCTGCCCCCTGTGTATCTACTTGTCCACCTTACTGTCTGTTTCATTAATTTGCTTTCATTGTTTCTTCCTTCCCTCTCCCGAATGCTCCCAAAGGCAGCTTAAGGATAGTTAGCTTCTTCAAGCAGTTTAGCAGCTGTTCTTGCTTAATCCATCCTCTGTGAGGTGGTACCTCCAGTCATGTAAAGGATGTTGCTGCGATGGACTACTCTTTACTAGTACTTTTCTCAAAGTGGTTTATTAACATTAAAGTGCTTTGAAAGAGGTTCTGAGCCTTCAATTCACTTGTACTTCAAAGCACCGGTTTTGGTGATCCACAGAAGTAAGTATTTTGAAGACCAAGTAGAGGTAGGGGAAATGGGAGGTAGGAGGAACTGAAGAGTGCAGATTGGACCAAAACAGGAGTTCCTTTTTGAGGAGGTGGGTCGCCAATGAAAGCACAGGGGGGCATTGTCTCTGCAAAACCTTTCTCTTCTGTGCTTTCTGTTTTCCAGTGAGTTTAGAAACAAATGCGATGAGTGACTTTTTGAAGTGTATAAATAGTACTGATTTCTTGAAGCTTCTTTAAATACTTTACTGTTTCTGCTAAGCTCCTGTTAGTTGAAAGAGTATTGACATCAGCAGCACTAACTCAGTAACATGCATATGGCATCAATTCCCAAAGCACTTGGGATAGCCACCATCAAAAACTCCAAGTTTTTGCTCACTGGGTTAAATGAAAATCATCATTATGTCTAGCTCTGCTGAATACCCATCTGTTGTGTTGGCTACTAGTCACTAGAGGAAGATAAGTTTTAACAGTAAAGTTGTCTGGTATGCATGTTTGCTAAAAAGATGTATGCCCTGAACTGATCCTTCAAGACAGGACTTCACAAAGTGAAATTACTCCTTGATCATATTTCCCCACTGTGTCAAGATCACAGGTTACACCATCCAGATGCTGTGCCACTTGTTGCGTCTGTCCATTCTTAGGATTGAAAGTATCATCTTAGTGCTATCTTTGAGTATTCATGAAACGCCAAACTGGCAGTCCAATTAAATCTGATCCCTTTCTTGTCTCCCAGTGTTCTGGTTAGCTGCGAGCTCCTGTGCCTCAGTCCTCCTTCCACACTTCCACAATAATACTCTGGTTTGTGAGAATTTTGTGTCCTGTCACAGGAGTTCACTCAATGTCAACTCCAATTTCACAGCATTGGTAAACATCCTGGCCTGTGGGTGCACATTGCTGGCTCATGTTGAGCTGCAACCACCCTCAAGTCCTTCTCTTCAGGGCTGCTCTCAATCCATTCTCTGCCCAGCCTGTATTTGTGCTTGGGATTGCCCCGACCCATGTGCAGGACCTTGCACTTGGCCTTGTTGAACTTCATGTGGTTGGCACAGGCTCACCTCTCTAGTCTGTCCAGGTCTCTCTGGACGGCATCCCTTCCCTCCAGCATGTTGACAGCTCCACACAGCTTGGTGTCACTGGCAAACTTGCTGAGAGTGCACTCGACCACAGTATCCATGTTGCCAACAAAGATGTCAAACAGTGCTGGTCCCAGTACTGACCCCTGAGGAATGGCAATCATTACTGCTCTCCACTCAGACATGGAGTTGTTAACCGCAACTCTTTGAGTGCAGCCATCCAGGCAGTTCCTTATCCACTGAGTGGTCCATCCATCAAATCCCTGTCTCTCCAGTTTAGAGAGCAGGATGTCATGCAGGACAGCATCAAATGCTTTGCAGAAGTCCAGGTAGATGATGTCAGTTACTCTTCTCTTACCCACCAATGCTGTAATGCCATCATAGCAGGCCACTATTTGTCAGACACGATTTGCCTTTAGTGAAGCCGTGTTGGCTGTCACAGATCACCTCCTTATTTTCTATGTGCCTTTGCATAGGAGGATCTAGGAGGATCTGCTCCATGATCTTGCTGGGCACAGAGGCGAGATTGACCAGCCTATAATTCTTTGGGACTTTCTTTTTTTTCTTTTTGAAAATAGGTGTTATGTTTCCCTTTTTCCAGTCAGTGGAAACTTCACTGGACTGGCACGACTTCTCAGATATGCTGGATAGTGGCTTAGCAACTTCATCCACCAGTTCCCTCAGGACCCACGGATAGGTCTCATCAAGTCCCATGGATTTATGCACCTTAAGGTTCCTTAGAAGGTCTCAAACCTGGTCTTCTCCTACAGCGGGTGGTTCTTCATTCTCCCAGTCCCTGCCTTTGCCTTCTGTGACTTGGTCGGTGTGACTAAAGCACTTGCCAGTGACAACTGAGGCAAAAAAGTCATTGAGTACCTCAGCCTTCTCCATATCCTGGGTGACCAGGTCTCCTGTTTCCTTCTGGAGAGGGCCCACATTTTCCCTAGTCTTTCATTTTATCACTGACATACCTGTAGATGATTTTATTTTGTTTGCCCTTGATGTCCCTGGCCAGATTTAATTCTATCAGGGCTTTAGCTTCCTAACCTTATCCCTGGCTGCTTGGACAATTTCTCTGTATTTCTCCCAGTCGACCTGTCCTTGCTTCCACCTTCCATATGCTTCCTTTTTTAGTTTGAGATTGTCCAGGAGCTCCTTGTTCATCCGTGCAGGCCTCCTGGCATTTTTGGTTGACTTCCTTTTTGTTGAGATCCATTTCTCCTGAGCTTGAAGGAAGTGATCTCTGAATACTAACAAGCTTCCCTGGGGCCCTCTTCCCTCCAGGGCTTTATCCCATGATATTTTGCCAAGCAGATCCCAGAAGAGGCCAAATCAGGTCTTCTGAATTCCAGGGTAGCCAGCTTGCTGTGCTCCCTTCTTGCTGCCCTGAGGATCTTAAACTCCACCGTTCCATGCTCACTGCAGCCAAGGCAGTGCTTGAGCTTAATATTCCCCACCAGCTTCTCCTTGTTGGTGAGAACAAGGTCCAGCATAGCACCTCTCTTCGTTGGCTCTTCTGTCACTTGAAGAAGGAAGTTATTATTGACGCATTCCAGGTATCTCCTGGATTGTTTATGCCCTGCTGTGTTGTCCCTCCAACAGATATCAGGGTGGTTTGAAGTCCCCCATGAGGACCGGGGCTTGTGAATGTGAGGCTGCTTCTATCTGTTTATAGAAGGTCTCATCTGCTCGATCTTCCTGGTCAGGTGGCCTGTAACAGACCCTCACTGTAATATCACCTGTCCCTGTCTTCCCTTTAATCATGACCCATAAGCTCTCAGTCAGCTTCTCATCCATTCCCAGGCAGAGCTCCATGCGCTCCAGCTCATCACTGACATAGAGGGCGACACCCCCTCCTTGTCTCCCCTGCCTGTCTTTCCTGAAGAGCCTCTATCTTTCCATTCTAGCACTCTAGTCGTAGGAGCCATCCCACTATGTCTCTGTGATGCCAATAAGATCGTAGCCCTGCAGGTGTTCCCCATGCTATATGTGTTTGCATAGAGGCATTTAAGTTGGGCCCCCCAATGAAGCTGATTTACTGGCTGGAGTGGCTAGTATTCCTTTGTGCTGCACTCCAGGTGCTCTCCTGCTGACCTGTGATCCTCTTCCAGGCTCTGGGCATCTATTATTGGCACTGGCATCAAAATGGTAGAAATGGGATGGATTGAGGTTCCCCTCCCCTGGTGACTTTAGTTTAAAGCCCTTTTCATGAGCTTGGCAAGCCTCTGACCAAAGATGCTCTTCCCCTTCTCTGACAGATGGACCCCATCAGACCCCAGTAGACCTCATTTCTCAAAGCAAGTCCCATGGTCTAAGTAGCCAAACTCCTGGCTGTGCCACCAGTCCTGTTGTAACCGTTTGTTGACTTGCCAGATTTGACTGGCCCTTTCAAACCATTTCAAAAAATCCCTTTGGGGTTTTTGAAAAATGTTTTTTCTGATTATCCTTGGTACTACATTGAAAGCGCCTTAATATTAGTGATTTCTGGTAATTCTTCTATTTAAAATTAGCTTAAACTGTTGGTTATATAGCCTGTATGTTATTTCTATTAGCTCTTCTCCTTCAGAGGACCACTCATTAGACTAATCTGTTGTTCTGTGTGTTGCTCAGGAACAGAATCGTAATGCTTTCCCAGAAGACTCCATTATTGGTGTTTCCTTCTGTACCCAGGGTAGTTCTTTGATTTAGTGTGCTATTACAGAGGTTGTGTAATGTCATTGCCACTCCTAAAACATGTAATGTAGTGCTTACTTTGTGTGCCAACCTGGTACCAGCACAGCTGCTACCTGAATGTACAAATTGACTCACTGTTAGAAATGTGAGTTCCCTTCTCTTCTGAAGTCCTTCAAACAAAACTTGAAGTTGGAGAAAGACCTAAAAAACTGGGTGGGAAGGTCAATGACAGCCCTCATTCTACCTTTGGAAGAACTTGATCTTGCAAAGCAGTGTTCATGCTATATCCCTGAACGGTCCCTGCTCAGTACCAAGGGAACTGCTGAAGAGGAAGCCATTCTCTTTGCCAGCATGTTTAGAATTAGTAAAAAACCTGAGAATTAGGTCACCAGAAAGCTGTTTCATTTGGTTTTTTTGTATCACAGCAATCCCCAAGGCTTCATCTTGCATCTTGACTGCTGCCTGCTGGTGCCTGTTTTTACAGTTGCCACTGGAAGTCACACTGATCTCCCCTTTCTCTAAGGAAGGAAAAACTCTGAGTGTGTTTGGTCCTTATTTAAGTTTCCCTGTTTTGTTTCTGCCTGAAGTGATTCTGGTTGCACTCTTAACAATGTTTTGAAGGGCTGAAGTCCCAAGTAGTTCTTGCTGTCTGTGATATTTAAATGTGTTTGTAATAAACAGTTGCAGGCTTTTGGGGTGAATAGTTGCGCTGTGTGTTGATTTGCAGGACACCTCCTTATTTCATCATGAAGGGCAGTGGGACCACGTGCATGATGAGAACATGCATGCTTAAAGAAATGTCATTCCATCCCCTCGTAGGAATCTTGCCTTCCCAACGTGGTACGAGAGAGATTTCTGCTAATGCTTGTCT